AGAGAAAAATTAAAATTGTTAAAAATTTTATTTATAAAAAATTATAAAATCTTTAAAAATTAATAACTTTTGATCCACTGAAAAAAGAGGTGCTTATTTTCGAAGGAATACTATTGTATCGCTAACTACTTTTATGTGTTAAATAAATGATTAAAACTAGAAATCTCTAAAGTTGAACAGAGGCATTTAAGTTAAAAAAAATCTTACTTGACCTCAACCAAATTAGTTTTGCATTTTTTTTAAATAAGTTCGATTACATGCTGCTGCTCTATGCAACTGGTTTATCATTAAACTGGAACAAAACACGTGATGTCAAATATGGACTATATACTTAAAATAATATATATACCAATTTATAATAGCTATTAGAAAGAGTTATATACTCAAAAAGTAAGTAAAATTTTATTTAGTTAGATAGTCTAATATAAAGCAGTCGTCAATAATTTAATAACAATAAATAATATCGATATATCGATGATCCAAAAATTCGGGTCTCATGGCAAAATTCAGATTTAATTTTGTACGTATGTATATCACAAATTTATCTTTGTTCAGTTACGCCATGTGGTCAGAACTTTTAGAATAGGATTTTCATAAAAATTTTCAAGCTCAACTATTTTTAGCGGGCAAATTTGCCCGCTTAGATAGAGCTAGGAGATAATACGCTACATTTTATAATTGTTTTTATTTTCATTATTATATATATAGCATATCTTTCATAAATTTTTTTTTTTTTTTTTTTTTTTACAAATCTACAAGTTTTTATCGTTATATAAACTTTCTAACTCTAACCTCAATGCTAACCCTAAACTCGCTTTTAACGTTGGCCAGAATTACATAATATTTATATAATATTTCCGAATTCTGATATTTGACTGGCTACACGTGACTTTAGACAATAACAATAGCGATAACTAATTATGGTGTCACAAAGAATCAGTCATGTAGAAACTATAATAACTCACGTTTTTTTTTTTTTGTTTTTTTCAGAGTATTCATATATGTTCTGGTCTTCTTCGTGGATACCTTACCTCCTGAACCATTGATATAAAGGCCAAAAAGTTAGTTAAATGCCACTCTTAGCTAAACCTTTGATAGAACCTTCCATTAGCCAAGCAAAAACATATTCTGCAAGTGACAGTACTCATCAGCGACAAGAAATGCAACCACCACAGCAACAGTCAACTTCGTCGTTTAACATCATGTCGATATTAAATCCGGCTCCATCACCGCCGTCTAATAGGTCCCAAACTGTATCAGGATCACTACAACAAGATTTAAATGCGCACCCGGTCTTACCACCAGCTTCGTCAATGACTCAACAAACATATTACCAGTCAAATCCTCACTCACAACCTCAGACTCCAACTTTTCAATTACCTTATAATAACAATCTTCGGCTTCCACCACCGTGCACATCTCCAACATTTCCGTCATTTCCAAGTTCTTCAAGTTCACCAGTAAATATTTATAGCTATACACCTCAAAAATCAACTTTCTCACCAGTTGGTTTCAACACTTCTAGCAACGGTACTCCTTTGTCCCCAGTTAAAACTAGTCCTTCAACTCCACTGACTAATGTGCCAACTGTATTACAGTCGTCTCATGTATTAACGCCCAATGAAATATCAATACCAGCTACCCCGATCACTGCTTATAATAACAGAAGTCCCTCGTTAAGTCCAACCATTCAGGAACAAGATGTTACCGCATCAATAAATAAAAGTAACCATCACAATAGAAATAGTCCCGAGGTTAATCAAGTCACTGTTGCCACCTCCACTCCTGTATTGAGTGATTCTTGTGGGCACTTGACGAAAGACCAACCTCCTACTCCTACTCTTACTCCTGTGGAGTTTATTGGCCAGCCTGTACAGAAATCGGGATATCTGCATCAAAATCTTAATCCACCCCTTAACGCAGTGATGACTGAAAATTCTTCTGAATTAGAACAATTGGCTAGTACGGCACTCTGCGAACTCCAAAATTCACAAAGAAGAGAGGTCATACATAACGAAGAAGCCAGAACTGGTAGAGAATCGGATATGTTCTCTGATGAAGATCACGTTTCGCATCCTACATCTCCATTTGAAGAGCGTACACCTATTAAAAATATGGTGTCACCTATTTCATATGAGAGTACGACAGGAAGTACTCCAGCACCACCACAAACTGATTCAGAGGTCTCTTCTGATGATACAAGTCCACGCCAACGTAAATCTGGAACAAGGCGGTCTAAAACTACATCGACAAAAAGAAAACTATCGTTAGCGTCTGATCGTTCTTACAAAGGCAACAACAAGAGACAATTTCGATCAAGAACTACGTCTAATAACAGCAGTCGTAATACTTCACCGGGTTTGGAATCTACAAGAAATACAAATGCTGAGATGGTCATTGATGAATCAGAGCGGGTAGGAGAGCAGCTTTATTGTGTATGTAGGTCATCTGACGGCCAATCATTTATGATTGAATGTGATAATTGTGATGAATGGTTCCATGGCGCTTGTGTAAAAATATCATCCGAAGAATCATTAATGGTGGACAAATTTTATTGTCCGAATTGTACAGGTAGGCATATATAATGTATTATATTGTTAATATATTTTAAACGGACGTCGATTAACATATATATAAATCTATTAAGCTAAGGGGTTCAGAACATCGTGGAAAGCAGAGAAATGTAAATACCCACCATGCAAAAAACCAGCTAGATTCACAAAATCGAAATTCTGTTCAGTCAAATGTGGATTGGATTTCAACCGTATTCTTCTTGAAAAGGAAGAAAGGGCAGCTAAAATGAAAATGTTGTTAAGCAAGAAAAATAAGGACAATAAAAAAGGACCGATAAAGCGAAATGTTACAAATCGCACAGGCCAATTTGATGATGTTGAAAGGTTGAAAAGGATAGAGAAGAAGGAAGCTAAAATCAAAAAAGAGTTGGAAGAAATTGAGACACTTAATAATGTTGCTGGGCGGAGCACAGAGAGAGTTCAAAGCGAGAGTGATCAAGTTGATAGTGATGGATCAGCTCAAGATATTCCATGTGAATTTGAGAAACAATCCGAGAGCGACGGGCCCACACATAATGCCCCAATCTGTGGATACAGTCCTCGTTTTGATTGGGCTATTGATAAAGACGATGTGAAATATGCCGGTGACGAAATTTGTACAATTCTAAAGGCGCGTTGCAAAAAGCATCGTAATTGGCAAAGTCGTAAGAACATGCAGATAGAATTGGCAAAAGCCAATAAGGTTTGTAAACTATTTTCAATTAACATTATAAGTATATATAAAGTTATATACAGTTATGCTTACGTGATTTGACCAACTTTTTTTTATTCCATTATTAAACTTTAGAAAACTCGCCTTTTAGAACTTGCCGGAGAGAAGAAATTAATAAAAGCACAAATGAGGAAACGAAACGATATGGTAGAAGCGATAATAAATGAAACAATTGATCATACGGCCGGGTGTGAGTGGTAATTAATGGTTGAATAGTAATCGATAGGCAAAATCGATGCTGATCCTTCCGTGGAGATATTCCACAAGACTTGTCTATACTGACGAAAAAATTTAAAGACATGGAAAGTTTCATTAATGACTTGTAAGAATATTACTCCAACAATGAATAGAATCGAATTTGTCGCTTTTTAGAATAAAATTTTCATTCTTAAACTTTATGAAACATCATGTACAAAGTTATAAAAAAAAAAAAGAAAATTCAACATAATATTGGATTATAGTTTATACTTTATCCTTGCATTTATTGAATTGCTTCTTCATAATAATTATTATTTACTGTTACATATTATTTTGAATTTGATTAAAGAAAAGTGATTGAATAAAATTCAAAGTGTAAATATTCTTTTATATTCACATGAGAAGATATGCACAATTTTTTCACCAATAAAATGTTAAAATTTTGGTATGTGTTAATATTGCTGTATCGGTATTTAAAATTTCAAAAAGGGTTTGACAGCCTTATATATTTATAGGTTGTCCTAGCGTCACTAGAATACTGTAATACCGAATTTTTCTATTTATGTCTTATTCGCGTGGAGGTTTAACATTATCATTTAATTCATTTAATGTAGAATAATTCAGATATGGAATAGTAAACGATAATTCGATTTTCTAAAATTAGATTCGGGTTTTCAAATACTGAAATAATCCATAATCTCCATAATCTGCTTTGCTATTTTCCGTCATGTACATCTTTTCATATTTCTAAACAGAATAAATACATTAGAATGTTTGCTATCATTTAAACGCATTTCTTAAACTCGACCTTTAATAATTTCTACATGAATTTGCATACACGTGACCACAAAAGAGGAGCACTCTTAATCCATATTCTACTGCTTTTAACTTCGTTAACCCAAGCTCAGGAAAATTATGCATTACCACCTCCAAATATTCCCGGAATACCACAGGAACCAAGCAACAATACTTATCCTAATCCGGAATATGCAAGGCTAATAGCATATTCTTTATATTTTTACGAAGCGGAGAGAAGTGGAAAATTACCTGCAGACAACAGAGTATCATGGTAAGCATACTTTCAACAATACCTTCAATTGTCTAGAAAGATATTTACGATAGATAATTTTTCAGGAGGCATGATTCAGCACTAAACGATGGTCAAGATGTCGGTCTTGATTTAAGTAAAGTAAGCATTTTCGCATTTATATTGTTAATTTATTAATTAACTGCCCTTCCATTAAGTGTTTAAATTCCTTCCCGATATTTTAAATTTTAAAATGTACACTTTGCAACCAATTTAATGATTAAACTGATCTTTTTCGTATTTATTCATGCAACTATAAAAGGGTTATTATGATGCAGGTAAATTTCAAAATTTCATTAATAATCAATTGATCAATTTGATCTTATGATAATTAAATTTATTATTATATTCCACGGCCCCCTAATGTTCTCGTGAACATTTCTGATGATATTTTTATGATGACGTAATGTCACACGGACATTACGTCATCAGTAAAAATTTTAATCAGAAATGCTACGGGCATAGGAACCGTGAAATATATCAGATATTCCGCGTGCGCCGTGAACACCATGGATTACCACGGCTTCGCCGTGCTAATCCATGATATTTACAACAGCCTATGGAATATCTATTACATACTACATTTTATTACATTTATTAGGTGATTATATAAAATTCACCTTTCCATTATCATGGACTATCACGGTTATTTCCTGGGGTGCTTTAGAATGGGGTAAAGGTTATGAATTAGCAAATCAGACTCAATACTTGAGAGATATGATAAAATGGGGAACTGATTGGTTAATAAATGCTAGTTCGAATACGAATAATACAGCAAATCAATATTTATATGTGATGATTGGTGACCTTGATTCAGATATTAATTATTGGGGACCCGACACTAAGTATTTATAATGTATATTCGATTATCATAATTATTATTCAAAACATTCAATAATTGATTATTTATACTATCCTTAGTATTCCTACCCCACGTCCATCGTTAAAGACTAACTCCTCTGCTCACGGTACTGAAGTCTCAGGAGAGACTGCTGCGGCAATGGCTGCATCATCTTTATTATTTCGTAATCAGTTTAATGATTCTAACTACGCCAATACTTTTTTAACATATGCGAAAAATTTATACTCTTTTGCCGAAGCGACACCTTTCACTCTATATCAGAATTCAGTCCCACAAGTCAAAAGTGCATATGGTTCGTCAAATTATTATGACGAATTGGTCTGGGGTGCTCTTTGGTTATATCGAGCGACAAACGATACTAGTTATCTTGACAAAGCCGTTAATTATTTTAACGCCAATTCATTGAGTGGTTTAACAAAAGTATTTAACTGGGATGAAAAATCTGGCGGATGTTATGTGTTGCTTGCACAATTATTTCAGCAATCTGGTCGGGATTCAAGTAGGTGGCAATCTGAGGCAGAACGATACTTGGATAGTATCGTAAGCCCATCTGGTAGTTGTACATTGACTCATGGTGGACTTTATTGGTGTGATGGAGATAGTGATTCTGCATCCTTAAACCCATCTCTTGATGCTGCCTTCTTGTGCCTAATTTATGCACCAATTGCTACTTCATCTACAAAGACTCAAACATATGTGAACTTTGCTTTGTCACAAATTGATTATGCTCTTGGTAAAAATCCTATTAACACACCATATGTTGTTGGTGTTCATCCAAATTCACCACAGAATCCTCATCATGCTGGTGCACATGGCGGAACTGAAGTATCTAATTTGAATAATCCGCCTCAAACTCAGCACGTTTTATATGGTGCACTTGTGGGCGGTCCAAATAAGAAGGATCAATTTAGTGATTCAAGAGCTGATTTTGCTCAAACTGAGGTAAAATTTAATTTATAATACCCTGCCTTATTATTTGTTGTTCATGCCTGCCTTCATTATAATTCCCACGAGATCATATCATGACCGGGAATCTTCCATGGGAAGATTCCCGGTCACAAATAATCACACGAAAATTATAATAAAGGTAGGCATGAGGAGTTAAAAATCACAACAGAGATTCCGATGATCATATGATACAGACGGCCTTCTCTACGGACACGTACCAGAGCACGTGATTTTGCACGTACCGAATATCACGTGACACCCACGTACGTGAGCTATTGAAGTTGAATTTTTTTAATTTTGAACAAAATTTCTTGGCAACTATTTGATAGGGAATTAGTAAAATTCATTTTAAAAAAGTTTCATCGAATTCTATTGAGTAGATGAGAAATTTTCGTTCAAAGTTTCTACGCATCCTAATAAAATAGTCGCGGCAAAAATTTTCTAAAATTTAAACAATTTCTCGATAACTATCTGATAGAACTCAATGGAAATTTTTTTAAATTAATTCTATAAAATATCATAATACATTTAAAAAAATTTCATCTAATTCTGTTGAGTACTTTTTGAGAAAATTTCATTTAAAGTTCAGGAAATTTTCTACAACAGCTACTTAGGAGACGGCAGAAATTTTCTCAACAGAATTCGATAAAATTTTTTTTAAAATGAATTTTGCTATTTAATAAAATTGATTTTAAAAAAAATTTCCATTGAATTTTATAAGGTAGTTGTCAAGAAATTTTCGTTTAAAGTTTAGAAAATTTCTGTTGCGGCTATTAGAAATCAGGAAACTTTGAACGAAATTTTCACGCCAACTACTCAATAGAATTCGATGAAATTTTAAATGAATTCTACAGATTCATAGAATCAATTTTAAAAAAATTCAACTATGATAGTTTACGTACGTACGTCGGTGTCACGTGATATTCGGTACGTGCAAAATCGCGTGATCTGGTACGTGTCCGTAGACGGTCCGCCTTCGGGCCATCTGTATCCTATGATCATCGAGAATCTCCGTTGTAATTTTTAAGCTCCCAGGAAATTAATAATACTTATTTTAACTTTCGTTCTTTAGTTTACTTAATGCTAACACATCAATTTTCACATTTAAGGTTGCACTGGATTATAATGCACCATTTCAAAGTTTAATGGCATATCAAATGATCAATTCCCACAGTGATCCATATTATGCTAATATTCCTCCTGGCAGGCCCCAGCCAAAGATCAGTGTTGGTGTTATTGTTGCTATTGTTATCATATGTTTGATATTACTTGTTATTGCTGTCCTTTTATACTTAAAACGTAAAGAAATTGTAAAGTGGTGGAAAAATAGGAAGCAATAAAAATTAAGTGGACACATACCTCATCATAGATATCAAAATCATATCAAAAGGACAATTTACTAGAAATCTTTATTTTATTTATTGACTATTTACTAAAAATCTTTCATCGATATTTATTTTTATTGAAATAGACTTATTTATTTACATTTTTCTATCAAATTTGTATTAATCACAAAATTGTCTAAGCGAGATGCGAAATAAAATCCACATATAAAAAGTTGAAGACTTTGATTTTGTTTAAATTTCGGAGATTCTTTGTATTTCAGTAAGGGAGAATAAATTTAGTCCAGATGATCAATTTCTTAATAAGCTGCTTTTCAAATTTGTGACACCTTCATTTCTTTTTTTATAAGCTAAAAAAAATGGGCACCAATAACTGAAAAGAGGGTAATCATTTATACGTACGTTCGTATAACTATTTTGCGATAGCGATAATATACATAGTGTTACGTAGCTTTGTGTGCCTAAATTATTTTGTGCTTGCCACAAATGAAAGTATTTTTAATAAATAATTTTTTTTTCTAGTATCCACGGGACAGACGCAGATATTAGTAAATATATAAACTAAGTTCAAATAAAATTTTTTTCAAATCATGGGTTATACGATCACAGGCGGAGGTTGTACCCATTTATCTGACAATCCGGAAACCGATAGTTTCGGAATAAATTATACATACCGGGTAATCCGGTTAATTCAGGGACGCGGTGATAAAGTCAATTCTGTTCGTGATAAAATAAATTTCTGCGTAATCTGTACTCAAAATTTATTAATCCATGCATTAAAATTTATGAATTCTGCGTTTGTTATAATAGAAATCTCAAATATTATTACTTATTTCTCGGATTATTTCAAAAAATTTAGCTTACAGCTATTATCATAATTCCTGGGACACTTGTGAAAATTTGGCATGATCCGTATAATAAAATAATTAGGGATGTTAAAAGTTCAGTTCGGTCCTGTTCGGTCCTGTTTCATAAAAGTTCGAGTTAAGAAACAGTTCGAAAAT